TAACTAACTAACTAACTAACTAACTAACTAACTAACTAACTAACTAACTAACTAACTAACTAACTAACTAACTAACTAACTAACTAACTAACTACTAACTAACTAACTAACTAACTAACTAACTAACTAACTAAACTAACTACTAACTAACACTAACTAACTAACTAACTAACTAACTAACTAACTACTAACTAACTAACTAACTAACTAACTAACTAACTAACTAACTAACTAACTAACTAACTAACTAACTAACTAACTAACTAACTAACTAACTAACTAACTAACTAACTAACTAACTAACTAACTACTAACTAACTAACTAACTAACTACTAACTAACTAACTAACTAACTAACTAACTAACTAACTAACTAACTAACTACTAACTAACTAACTAACTAACTACTAACTAACTAACTAACTAACTAACTAACTAACTAACTACTAACTAACTACTAACTAACTACTAACTAACTAACTACTAACTAACTACTAACTAACTAACTAACTACTAACTAACTAACTAACTAACTAACTAACTAACTAACTACTAACTAACTAACTAACTAACTAACTAACTAACTAACTAACTAACTAACTAACTAACTAACTAACTAACTAACTAACTAACTAACTAACTAACTAACTAACTAACTAACTAACTAACTAACTAACTAACTAACTAACTAACTAACTAACTAACTAACTAACTACTAACTACTAACTAACTAACTAACTAACTAACTAACTAACTAACTAACTAACTAACTAACTAACTAAACTACTAACTAACTAACTAACTAACTAACTAACTAACTAACTAACTAACTAACTAACTAACTAACTAACTAACTAACTACACTAACTAACTAACTAACTAACTAACTAACTAACTAACTAACTAACTAACTAACTAACTAACTAACTAACTAACTAACTAACTAACTAACTAACTAACTAACTAACTAACTAACTAACTAACTAACTAACTAACGAACTAACTACTAACTAACTACTAACTACTAACTAACTAACTAACTAACTAACTAACTAACTACTAACTAACTAACTAACTACTAACTACTAACTAACTAACTAACTAACTAACTAACTAACTAACTAACTACTAACTAACTAACTAACTAACTAACTAACTAACTAACTAACTAACTAACTACTACTAACTAACTAACTAACTAACTAACTACTAACTAACTAACTAACTAACTAACTAACTAACTAACTAACTAACTACAACATCAAACATTTTCTTTAAAAATTTAAAGTAAATTTTCAACAGATAGAAAATTTAATTAAAATTTGTTATAGGAAGAAAAAATATTGAAAATTTCCTTAAAAAGAATTCATCGGAAAATTCTTCTAAAATGAAAATTTACTGAAAATTTCTTCTAAAAAGGAAAATTTTCTTTAAAAATAAAATTTAACGAGTATTTCGTATAAAAAAATTATTTAAAATTTACTATAAAAAGAAAATTTATCTAACATTTTCTATCGAAAATTCTTTATAAAAAGAAATTAAGGAAACATTTATTGAAAATTTTCTATAAAGCGAAAAATTATAGAAAATTTTCTAAAATAAGGTATTTTTTTTATAATTTTAGTTGTTGCAGTTTTACTCTTTACTGTAATAGAAGCTTCAATTTCTTTTTATTTTTTTTGTAGCTGCAAGTAAAATAAAGATTACAAGAAAAAGAAAAATAGAAAAATAATTATTACAAGAGTTTCTTCTTTTATTTAACATTAAACTGACATTGGCATTATGAAACAAAGTGCATATTAAACGAAAAACGAAGAAAAGAATAAAATGCCGACAATTCAAAATTACAAAAAGGATTTAAAAAAAATTTTTTAAATTGTGCTCAGGGCAAGAAAGCATATTTAATGATTCTTTGTAGCAGAAAAAAATGTGTTAAATAACAAAGAATTGAGTTTAAAGGAATAGAATAAAATAAGGATAACATTTTAAGACAAAAATTAAATAACCTAAATCAATATGTATAAAATATACATATAAGACAACATTAAATTAAATATAATACTTACTTGTTAATAAAAAAATATCCTTTCAGGATTTAAGTTAATTTAAGGACTTTATTTGAATCCTAAACATATAGGGTTATTTAAAAAACATTTTTTTTGGTCTCATATATTGTTATATTACTTTAGTTGATAGCTAGAATAATGACAAATATTTTGGAGAAAATGTATAAAAGTGTTGAAAAGTTTAATCAACTTTTTAATGAAATACAAAATTGAAATTTATTTTGCTCAAACTATAACATTTTGAACAGTATTGCTGAAATATTTTAATTTAATACAAAATATTTTCTAGCCACCTTCATCACGTTTGTCATAAATGTTCAAATACTTAAATATGTGTGTACAACTTGTTTTAGAATGTTCGAAAGGGTTAAAACATTTAAACTTTATAGTTTAAAATTTATGCAATTTGTGTTTTATAAAATTTATATTTTAATCTATTGCTTTTATTTTGATTGAAAATATTATAGAACATTTTGTTATTTTAACCCTTAATTATAAGTAGGGTTTCTATATAGGGAATTGCCAAAACATAACTTCTATAATCTAGTCTATAGTCTAGTCTATAGGCTAGTCTATAGTCTAGTTTATAGTCTAGTCTATAGTCTAGTCTATAGTCTAGTCTATAGTCTAGTCTATAGTCTAGTCTATAGTCTAGTTTATAGTCTAGTTTCTAGTCTATAGTCTAGTCTATAGTCTAGTCTATAGTCTAGTCTATAGTCTAGTCTATAGTCTAGTCTATAGTCTAGTCTATAGTCTAGTCTATAGTCTAGTCTATAGTCTAGTCTATAGTCTAGTCTATAGTCTAGTCTATAGTCTAGTCTATAGTCTAGTCTATAGTCTAGTCTATAGTCTAGTCTATAGTCTAGTCTATAGTCTAGTCTATAGTCTAGTCTTAGTCTAGTCTATAGTCTAGTCTATAGTCTAGTCTATAGTCTAGTCTATAGTCTAGTCTATAGTCTAGTCTATAGTCTAGTCTATAGTCTAGTCTATAGTCTAGTCTATAGTCTAGTCTATAGTCTAGTCTATAGTCTAGTCTATAGTCTAGTCTATAGTCTAGTCTATAGTCTAGTCTATAGTCTAGTCTATAGTCTAGTCTATAGTCTAGTCTATAGTCTAGTCTATAGTCTAGTCTATAGTCTAGTCTATAGTCTAGTCTATAGTCTAGTCTATAGTCTAGTCTATAGTCTAGTCTATAGTCTAGTCTATAGTCTAGTCTATAGTCTAGTCTATAGTCTAGTCTATAGTCTAGTCTATAGTCTAGTCTATAGTCTAGTCTATAGTCTAGTCTATAGTCTAGTCTATAGTCTAGTCTATAGTCTAGTCTATAGTCTAGTCTATAGTCTAGTCTATAGTCTAGTCTATAGTCTAGTCTATAGTCTAGTCTATAGTCTAGTCTATAGTCTAGTCTATAGTCTAGTCTATAGTCTAGTCTATAGTCTAGTCTATAGTCTAGTCTATAGTCTAGTCTATAGTCTAGTCTATAGTCTAGTCTATAGTCTAGTCTATAGTCTAGTCTATAGTCTAGTCTATAGTCTAGTCTATAGTCTAGTCTATAGTCTAGTCTATAGTCTAGTCTATAGTCTAGTCTATAGTCTAGTCTATAGTCTAGTCTATAGTCTAGTCTATAGTCTAGTCTATAGTCTAGTCTATAGTCTAGTCTATAGTCTAGTCTATAGTCTAGTCTATAGTCTAGTCTATAGTCTCTCTAGTCTATAGTCTAGTCTATAGTCTCGTCTATAGTCTAGTCTATAGTCTAGTCTATAGTCTAGTCTATAGTCTCTGTCTATAGTCTAGTCTATAGTCTGTCTATAGTCTAGTCTATATGTCTAGTCTATAGTCTAGTCTATAGTCTAGTCTATAGTCTAGTTCTATAGTCTAGTCTATAGTCTAGTCTATAGTCTAGTCTATAGTCTAGTCTATAGTCTAGTCTATAGTCTAGTCTATAGTCTAGTCTATAGTCTAGTCTATAGTCTAGTCTATGTCTAGTCTATAGTCTAGTCATAGTCTAGTCTATAGTCTAGTCTATTAGTCTAGTCTATAGTCTAGTCTATAGTCTATGTCTATAGTCTAGTCTATAGTCTAGTCTAAGTCTAGTCTATAGTCTAGTCTATAGTCTAGTCTATAGTCTAGTCTATAGTCTAGTCTATAGTCTAGGTCTACTAGTCTATAGTCTAGTCTATAGTCTAGTCTATAGTCTAGTCTATAGTCTAGTCTATAGTCTAGTCTATAGTCTAGTCTATAGTCGTCTATAGTCTAGTCTATAGTCTAGTCTATAGTCTAGTCTATAGTCTAGTCTATAGTCTAGTCTATAGTCTAGTCTATAGTCTAGTCTATAGTCTAGTCTATAGTCTAGTCTATAGTCTAGTCTATAGTCTAGTCTATAGTCTAGTCTATAGTCTAGTCTAGTCTAGTCTATAGTCTAGTCTATAGTCTAGTCTAGTCTATAGTCTAGTCTATAGTCTAGTCTATAGTCTAGTCTATAGTCTAGTCTATAGTCTAGTCTTTAGTGTAGTCTATAGTCTAGTCTATAGTCTAGTCTTTAGTGTAGTCTATAGTCTAGCCTATAGTCTAGTATATAGTCTAATTATAGTCTAGTCTATAGTCTAGTCTATAAATTTTCTATATTTTTTCTATAAATGTAAAAATTTTGATTTAAATCTTTTCTTTTTATAAAAATTTTACGAATGAATTCTCTTTTTATAGAAATTTTTCGATAAATTTATTTTTTGTAGAAAATTTTCTACAAATTTTCCCAGGACTTAAAAATTTCGTTAAAAGAACCCTTTGACAATAAAAACAGAAACTGGACATACATATATTTTTGTTGGATAAACAACTTTATTTAAATAAAATCCTTACACTTTTGATCCTTTGCTAACCTTGAGCTTATAATTAAAGCCTTTTTCGGGGGGTTTGTTTTCTTTGTATTTGCAGATTACAAGGACAATCAATAATCATACAATGGACACAGGCTATACAGCAGAAAAATAAAAGCACAGAGCCACAAAAATAAATAAATAAATGAATGAATAAATAAATATTTTTGTGATTAAGCTATAAAAACAGCAACAACAACAAAATAACAATACCAAGACCACAAAGCCAACAAGAAAAAAACAACAAAATATATATAAATAAACAACAAAACGAATAAAAGGAAAACCATTTCAACCGCAAATAAAATAAAAAAAACAACACGACACGACACCAGGACATTCATCATTCGACAAAGCCAAAGCCACCAGCATCAGCATGTTGTATAACGATTGCCTCCTGCTTCTACATTGGCCTCATCATATTTTACAAACAGTTCCAGTCCTAATGAGATGTAGCACTAGTCATGCCACAGCAGTAGCAGCAACAAACACAATCGCCATTAGTAGCCTCCTGTATAAATAAATAAACAAGGACTCATTTGTAAATTGCCTAGATCCTACAAAATATAGAAAAAAAGGAACGAAAAAAAACCAAACAAACAAAGTAAAGCAGAGTAAGCAGACGTTGGCTAAGAGAGAGAGAGCGTGTAAAAAGTTTAAATAAACAATAGTACTTTTAAAATTGTTTTTGGTTTGTTGATCCCCCTAAAAAAATTTAGCCAGGTGTCGAAATAAAAGAAACTTGGCAGCTTTTACCTTTTTTGGCAAATATTATGGAAGCATTTCATTTAAAGCGTCCAACTCCCGCAGAGTCGCTCTTAAGCAGTAGAAGAAGCAGAAGACCGGATATACAAAGAGGGTGTATTAGTAGTAGTGATAGTGAAATTAGAGCGGCGTCACTGGGATGCAATAAAATATTAACAACGACGACGAAAACGGAAACGACATTAACTTCAGTAGAAAATATAAAATCAACAGCAGTCACATCATCAACAGTAGTCACATCATCAGGGAGTAGTAGCATACATATACCACAACTTTTACTATCACTAACACCACCACCACCATCATCATCATCACCATCTACAGGAATATTCCCACACATACGACGTAGAAATTTATGGAGTTGTTTTCATTTAAGACATGATTTAACCTGTATTATGATGACAATGTTGTTTGTTATATCAATTGTATTATCGGGAAATTCAGGTGAGTTTTACGATTTTTTTCCTCTTTTTCGCTTCCTCAATCTAAATTTAAATTAAAAACCATTAAAGAAAGGACTTTGCCTGCGTGTTGTTTGTTAAAATAGAATCTTAAGGGATTTGTTTGTCTTTTCTTGTGTAATTTTTTTTATTAACCAAAAAATCTACTTTGTGTTGTTTAATAATTTATTAGACGCTGTAAAGTATGCTACACGTGTGTGAAAAAACAAGCACTTGTTAGTTGCTCGTAAAAAATTATAATTAATTTTTTACTTTATTACAAATTATAAAACAATCTACATACACATGTGTTCTGGTACTTAAATTTATATTAATGCTTTATTGCCTTATTCATGAGAATTTATCAAAGGTTTATAGAACAAATTTTGTATGAAAAATTGTCTTATAAACCTTTGATAAATTTTTATGAATAAGGCAATTACTATAGAGTCTACAATTTTAATTGTAGCTTAATGTTGTAACTAAAAAGAATTTGTCTCATTAATTTATAGTAAAGAATAAAAAAATCTCCTGACATTATAAAGTACATAAATCACTAGGGTAATATCATATTTTATACGTTAGATAAATATTATATAACAACTGTACATGCCACACTTATTCGCTAAGAGAGTAGCATTTCCTTCTTTTACGGCTTTAACAGTAATGGAACCCAGCAAACAAATGATCAATTTCTGAGTTGATTCAACAAAGTCTGTCTGTCCATCCGCGTGTCTGAGATATGTATATTCAAACTCCAGTGATCAATTTTAAAGATAACTTGATAAAAAATATATGACCTTTTAAAACCTGTTAACTGTAACGTTTCGACTCTGAACTGTTCTAAAGTTTCTCAACTTTAGACACTTTTACCGACCCTCGACTGTTTTATAGTCCTTCGACAATTATATGCTCAATAGTCCCTCGACTGTACATAGTTCTATAGTCTCTCGACTGTAACCAGTTCTAGAGTATCTCGACTATTGGATGTTTAATAATCTCTCCATAGTAAATTGTTCTCCCACTACTGTAGACAGTTATATAGTCAGTCGACAGAGGAATGTCCTAGACTCTACTACAGAGTGTCTAGTCACCAGACGGTTCTAAAGTCTCTCAACTATTGAATGCTGAATAGTCCGGTTAGTAGAATGTTCAATACTGTCTCGACAGTAGACAGTTCTATAGTATCTCGACTGCATCAGTTCTGATCCTCCTGTAGACAGCTCTATAGTATTTTGACCGTAGACAGTTCCATAGCATCTCAACTATCTGTAGTCTTCCCGATAGTAGACATTCCTATAACCCTCAGGAGTTCTTTTGACAGTTCTTTAGTCTCTCGACTTTAGACAGTTCCGTAGTGTTTCTACTAATAACATGTCTATAGTTTCTAAACTGTAAACAGTTCAATAGTCTCTGGACTGAAAGAGTTCTCTAAAAAGTTCTACTGTTTCCTATATAGTCTCTCGTCTGTAGACAGTTCTATAGTCTTTGTCGACATCAGACTGCTCTGTAGACTCTTATTGCTTTGCATTTTTTCGACTATTAATGGTTTTATAGTTTCTCGAATGAGAAACGGTTTCTTGGTTTGAGGAGTTATGCTACAGACAGTTTTATAATCTCTGGATTGGAGGAGTTCCCTCGACAATTCTGTTATCTCTCGACTGTAGACACTTCCGTCGTGTTTCGACTGTTAACATTTCTGTAGCTTCTTGTCTGGAGACAATTCTAAAGTCTCTCTCTATAAATAATTTTATAGTCTCTGAACTGAAGGAGTTCTATAGTGTCTAAATTAAAGACAGTTCTATAATCTCTCTACTGTAAACAGTCCTATAGTTTGTCGACTGGATAGTTCTCTCAACATTTCTATAGTCTATCGAACTTTTATTGTCTCTCGACTGTTGAAAGTTCTATAGCACAACTCAACACTAGACAGTTTTATTGTCTCCCAGCTGTAGATAGTTCTGTAGACTCTCGTATGTAAAGTGTTTTATAGATTCTCTACTCTCTCGCCTGCAGAATGGGCTATTGTCTATCTACTCGACACTGTTCTATACTCTCTCGACGGTCCTTTAGTCTCTTCTAAATTCTCCCGACTGTAAAAAGTTTTATTGTTTCTCGATTGTAGCAGCTCTGTTGTCTCTCATATACAATTTTATAGTCTCTGGACTGTGGATTGATCTATGGGCTTTCGACTAAAGACATTTTCATAGTTTCTCGACTATATACTACTCTATAACTCTTGTTTGTATTGAAAGTTTAGTTTAATAGTCCCCCTACTGTAGTAGTGTGGTAGGTTAAGGAATGTACTGGAATGGGCCATTAGTTGATGGGGATTGCAATCTTGCATGACATCAAGAGGGTGGTCACCTTCCGGTATACCGGAAGATTGATTTCACCTGATGTTGGGGTTGCCTCCCCTTCTATTGACTTTAGACCGGTGATTGTTTTTTCCTGTATAGACAGTTCCATAGTGTCCCGACTATAAATAGTTCTATAGTCTCTCGAATGTAGACAGTCTCCCGACGGAAAACTTTTTAATAGTCTCCCGATTATAGTTATTCTACAGTTCCTCGCTTTTATAAATTCTCTGGACTTTTTTACATTCGTTCGACTGTAGACTGTCTAATAGACGCTCGAGTGTAGGCAGTTCAATAGTCTCTTAGCTGTATATTGATGTATAGTCTCTCGATCGTTTTACCCAAAATTGTAATAAAAGTTTTGTTGGGCCCAATTACAACGAGTTTTCTAACTTACTTAGCTATGTGACGTTGCTCATCCCCCTAAGGTATGCATTGTAATATCAAACAAGTCTTTTATGTTTAGGTATACAAATATAATTTAGCTTAAAAGCAATATTTTGTCATAGATCAATTATTAACAAATTTAATTGAAAATCTGTCATTAGTTAATACTAATTAACATTTCAAATGCTTAACTTACAAGAATTTCAAAAAAATTAAATTTTAATAAAACACTAACACACACAAAAGAAAAGGTACATATTTTGTAGTTTGAGATAGATTGAAATATTGTACTCTATAGTATATTTGCAATACTTGTTATTGCTTGCTATAAGTTTCGTTTGTATTCCCAGCTTATTGTCAATTTAAATTAACATCAAAGCCAAACTGGTAATCTTATCTGTCAACTGTCTTGTTCGTTCATATTCTACTCCTGTCCAATAGTTGTGTGTGTTCGTATACCAATATCAATGAGAAAGAACATACACAAAAAAAAAAAAATTGCAAAAAAATGAAAAACGGACAGAATAATACTCCAAGCATTTTTCATCAACAGCAGTAAAAGTATAAAAAAAATATTTATAATGAAACAAAGTCAAATGGCATGAAAAACTGGAACAATTCCCCAGCGTAGTCACAAACCGTTACCGTTAACAAAGGATGCGTAAAATATGTTCGCAAAAAAAAAAGGAAAAATATTTAAATAAAATTGACTTTGTAGATGTTTTAGGAGAAAAATAATACTCGATTATATATTTTTCTGTACTTTTTCTGTTATAGCCTCAAACCTTGAAAATTTAATTATGAAAAATAAAATGGAAAAAAATGCTAAAAAGAAAATGCTGGCAAGAAAATAAGCAAATAAATGAATTTTGTAATAACATTGAGAAAAACTCTTTTTTTTTTTTTTTTAATTTTTCATAAATAATTCAAACATTTTTATTGTTTATATAAGAACAAAAAAAAAAAAAAAAAAAAAAAAAAAAACATATTAAAAGAAACAAATTGTGCCCCTAACTATATAAATGTTGTACTCACTTTTACCTTACGTTAACGTTGTTTTTACACGTTACGTTATGTAAAAATTTGGTAAATGAAATAAAAAAAAACGAACTCATTTCATAACATTTCACTTTTATTTTATTTACCTTTATTTATGTATATAACCAACCATTCATACATAAACAAAAACTGACAACAAAATAAATATATTTTGGTGCTAGAAAGATGACAAGATAATAAATTTTCCACACAAAACAAATTAAAGGACGAATATTATAAAACAAAATGGACATAAAGCTACCGCTGCTGCCTGGCTGGCTGCTCTGTGTTCGTTCATAGACAGCCAGAAGGACACATCACAGCAAATAGTGCAGGGAATTGGTTTATTTCGATGCCTGACTGCTTTGACAGCATACTACCTCCTGTTCAGACCAACAGACAGTACAACAAAAATACTAACAAAATTCAAACTCAAACACAAAAAAAATTATTAATGTCTGTATACAAAATATACACTGGGAAAAATACATATACACTGTGTACACAACTAAATAAACAATAGTACAATGTATTGCTCTTGCTGTTGTTGTAGTTGTTATCATTGGGTAATATAAACAATTCATTTAAAATATAAACAATTTATTCGTTTATAATCTTTGAGGAAGAGGAGAAAAAAACGGATGTTTTTTTATTTTAGTTTATTTTCAGTGTATAATGTTATTTTATGATGTTTAAATTAGGAATTCAAAGTATAAATAAAGCTTTTTTATGTTTACTCTTTTGTAAATATCATAAATGTAAAAGCTTTTAAAGTTTGTTATAGCTTAACATTATCTTTTGTCAGTTTTATATGGCTAATTATAGATTTATGGATTCTTTATAATAATATTTGTCTTGACTATAGACTGTTCTATAGTCTCTTGGTAGGTAGTTTTACAAGTCCTCGATTGTAGACCACAGGCCTGGGGGGGGGAATGACTTTATTTCAAGTACAATTGCATTTGAAGTAATTTAAGTTTTGCCAATTACAATTATTTGTAATTGCAATTGAAATGTTGACAATTACTATTACTTATAATGGTAATTGAAATTTTGCCAATTACAATTACTTGTATTTGTAATTGATAAATTTCCAATTATAATTACTTGTAATTGTGAATTTTGTTCCTTATAATTACATGTAATTTGTAATTAGTAATACCTTAATTACAATTAATTATAATTGGAAACTTTAATTACAAGTAATTGGAATTGGTTATTGGTCAATTACATATTACAAGTAATTGTAATTGCAAAACTTCAATTACAATTACAAGCAATTGTAGTTGGTTATTACTCAATTACACATTACAAATAATTGTAATTGATCATGTAATGAATTACTTTGTGTAATCATTACCCCCATGTATGGTAGACTATTTTATAGTCAGTCAACTATCGATTGTTTCATAATATCTCACCGATCTCCAATCTCAACTATAGACTAATCTCTACTCTCTTAACTATAGACTTATCTATAGCGTCTTGATCTCTCTTAACTATGTACCTACATGTATATATTGTCGTCTCTGGACTACAGACTGATTCTCAGTATTTCGACTTATATATATATTGTCTATACTCTCTCGACTATAAACTGTTCGGTTGTGTCCCTACCATAGACTGATTTAAATCATCTTGATTGATTTGTAGTCACTTGATTATAGAATGATCTATAGATTTTTGTCCAACCTATAGTCTCTAGACTATATATTGTTTAATATGTTGTCTTCGATTATAACCTTAAATAAAGCCTCTCGATTATAGTTTGATATCTCGATTATAGACTGATGTACAGTCATCTTTCGACTATAGACTGATCTGTAATATCTTGACTATAGATTGATATGAACTCTCTTCGACAATAGGCTGATATAAAGTCTCTCGATTACAGTTTGATCTCTCGACTTTAGACTGATCTACAGTCATCTTTCGACTATAGACTGATCTATAATATCTTGAGTACAAATTGATCTATACTCTCTCGACTGTTATTTGAACTATAGTCTTTCGACAATGGACTGATCTATCGCTCCTCGATTATAGTTTGATCCATAGTTGATTCTCGATTATAGACTGATCTCTAATATCTCGACAGATCTTTAGTATCTCGACTAATCTATAGTGTCTGAACTATAGATTGATCTATACTCTCACGACTATTATTTGAACTGTAGTATTTCCAATATAGACTGTTATAAAGCCTCTATACTCTCTCGACTATTATTTGATCTGTAGTCTTTCGAATATAGATCAATATTATAATTTGATCTATGGTTGTCTACAGACCTCTCATGACTATAAACTGATCTCTTCTATATATTGATCTATAGTCTATCTAGAATGTATTGATCAATAGTCTCTTGGCAATAGAGTGATATAGACAATATATTGATCTCTCGAGAGTATACTGATCTAAAGTTCTCTCCTCTCCACAGTAGACTGACTATAAACTGATCTGAGATTTATAGACTAATTTATAGTCTCTTGACCATAGTATGATCTATAGTCAGATTTGTAGACTATAATTTGTCATTAAAGATTGCCCTTTATCTCTCGACTATAGTTTGATCTGTAGTCTCTCGACTATAATTTGATAAAAAGCACCTTAACTATATAGCTACCTATAGTATCTCTCCCTTATTTCTTGATAATATATAATTCTCTCTCTCACCTAAAGATTGTTCTCTATTCTCTCAACTATAAACTGTTATCTGCTCACTCGCCTGTATACTATTCTCTAATATTTTACAATATAATTATTATTACTCTTACCGAATTAAGCCATTATTAAGTATGTATGTACTAAAACTTTTATAAAATTGCACAATTCAAAAAAAGAAACTTTAATAACATTAAGTTTTAACAACTAAAATAAAGTACAAATAATTAAAAATTAATCGAGCACTTTTTAAGGGTTGAAAATTTATAAATTAAAATTTTGAAAACAAAAAACCAATTAAAACCCCAAAAGTATGCAAATTATTTTTATTGTGTTTTAAATTTGCATGCAAACATGTGTGTGTAAGCTACTTAATTGCTAAAAATAAAAAAGTTTATGACATTGATTTTAAGGTCAAATTAGGACCCTTAACATTACTAAAAAAACACATTCTTCTTTAACTAAAAGTTTTATACTAACTGCCTTATTCCAAAGAATTTATCAAAGGTTTATTGAACAAATTTTCTATGAAAAATTGTCTTATAAACCTTTGATAAATTGTTATGAATAAGGCCCTAAAAAATAAGAAATTAAGCTTTAATTTCCAGACCATACAAAATTTATTTGTTTACACAATTTTGTATAAAAATAATTAGTTTTTTGCCAAAATCTAACAACTTTCTTTGAACTTTTGATGAGTACAATTAAAGTCAAAAGGCAGCTGTAGCAAATAAATATTTCTAATAAATTTAATGGTAAAAAATTAATCTTTCTTTTTTTTTTTGGTCATAACCTATGTGCAAGTGTATTAAATTGTCCGAGAAAAACAATTTTTGCTATTTTTGCGTCTGTAACAACAACTCAGCATGCTGAGAGTAACTACGTAAGAGAATGATGAAGAGTGTGTGTTATAAGTAGAAATGAATAATAGGGATTGGTTGGGTTCAAAGAAAAGAAAAAAATAACAAATGATTGTTTGTTGTCTATAGCGCTTCTTGGTATATATAGCCTTAAGGTTGTTTTATACACAGTATGAATTATCTAAAGCATACCTATCAGGGGATAATCTGACGGCTGAGTTTAACATGTTGGCAGAAGATAGATAAAGTAAGAATTTCCAACACGTGTAGCAAACACACACAATAACATTTTTGTTTATAAGGCAGACAATAAAAAAACCAACAAAAAAGAAAAAAGGACGTCCTTTGACATTAGTTTTAATAAATTTGTTAATCTGAAATTCAAATCAATCTTTAATAAAAAATTGTTTATATTTTCTTTACGTTTAGCTTTAGCCGCTCAAAGGGAATCCTTCAAACCCAAAGATACAAATAGCATCAACAACAATAACAATAATGCAAATGCCATATTCAATGAAATAGGCAGCAGTAGTGCGGGGGGCAGTGTTAATGCTGGTGGTGGTAGCTTAAGTAGCAGCAGCGGAAACGGAAATGCTGTCAGCCATAGTAATGCCAATAATATAAGCAACGGAAATACCAATGTCAACAATAATAACAAAAATATTGGTTTGGGCACTTTAAGCACATCACAAAAAACCACAACGAGTCTAACCACCAGCACATCAACCAGTACCAGCTCAACAGCTGCTAATGGTGGCAGTGGTTATGCCACCACTACATCCACTCACACCACCAGCTCTAGCTCCAGTTCCAGCTCGAGTGGTGTTAGCAGTAGTTCTCACAAAACATCCAGCTCACAACGCAATTCCATAGAACTGCAGGAGACCCAACAAAATGGTCCCTATTTCGATAAGGCTGCTTCAAAGAATGTCACCGCTTTGTTGGGCAAGACAGCGTATTTAAATTGTCGTGTTAAAAATCTAGGCAATAAAACTGTAAGTATCTTTATGACACACCTTTTGCCACTATAATAATCTGAAATATGTTTCTAATTCCCTAATGAACTATTAATTTCTAACATTCATTTTGTATATGCCAACACTCTATATCTAAACCTATTCATTCATTCACACACACACACATACATATGTGTTTCCTTTTAACAATTGTTAAGAGTCATTGGTTTAAATCAGTTTTTGATTGCTGTAATTAATTTCAAAAGGGAAAACATTTACCATTTACTGTTATTTATACACCTAAAAACCAACAACAAAACAATGTTTTGTAGCTGTGAAGCAATATGTCCGCCTATATGATTAATTAGTTGGACAAATATGGAAACGTTTCCATGTTGTTTGTTGACCGGCATTCAAATGACAATAGTTTAGAAAACGTTGACGTACATATGTATGTATTTAAGAATTCTGTTTATTTAAGTGTGTGTTGGGTGGGGCATTTCCCGGAAATAGTTTAATATAAATACAATAATGAACATTTATTTTGAAAGGGTGAGGTTTGGGTTTTTTTCTGTTTCGTTTAAATGTGTCATAATAAAAGTTTGTTGTATTAATGATTTAGGAAAACTTTGAAAATTAATGAATAGAATCTTGAACAGTAATTTGATTTATTTGTTAGCACGAAGTAAAATTTTTATTTCAGATACATATTTAGGATAATAGTGGATTGATAGTGGTTTTTCTTTGCATAATTTTTTTTTGCATTAAACTATGTCCGTCTGTCTATATGCTTTTTAAAATGAATTTTCTAAAGACCCCAGATACCTTCGGAATTCAACTTCCTTCTATGGAAAGCTTAATGCTTTAATAATAAGTTTCCTTAAGCTTACGTGAAAGGTTTCCTACATACGAAAAGTATAAAGATTTATCGAATGATGTCTTAATATCTAAGTTTAAAGTTTTAGTGAATGCTTTCCTTTATAGGAAAGTTTTAGCGAAAAGTTTCCTCAACAAGAAAGCGAAATATTATCATAAATAGCATAAATCTTAAAGCTTTATCTAAAAGGTTGTGTATATAGAAAACATTAAAGGGAAAACTTCAAATTCGAAAAGCTTAAAGCTTTATCGAATGGTCTCTTTATAAACAAGCTTAAAATTTAGTTAATGCTTTCCTCTATAGGAAAGTTAATCTCAACAAGAAAGCTTCCGTACGAAAGCTATAGTGTACAGTTTTTTGTATATTAGATCTTGAAGCTATTTTTAAATTTTATTAAAGAATTATTGCATAAAATTACATTTAATTTAAATTAAGGAACCGCGAAGCCATTAAGTGGATTGTGGATTGGAATGTTGCGTGTATAGAAAATATTAAAGGTTTACAATATAGGGAAGCTTTCTTTATTGCACATACACTGTTCTTAACACAAATTCATAACCATTTACAGAATTCAAAATCGTATTTATAAGTCTAAATCACATTTCTCGGTAAAAATTTAAATTTTCTACAAAAAATCTGCTTTTTTAGCTTTAAAAAACTTGCAATGACTTTTTGACTTTCGTAATCGATTTAATAATGTATGTATATTCCTTACAATAAGAAGACCTTTCAAAATTCCCATTGAATTTGTTTGATTTTTTAATCTTTAACTTAAGCCTTCAATTAAGAAGCTCTAAAAAAATTGAAAATTCCCCTGTTTAACAAAGAAAATAAATGCAGCATGTTTAACACTCTAGTTATGTTTTTCTTTTTCTTGTTTTGAAAAGTTACACCTAAACAGACACACACACACTCACAAACACTTATACATATTTTCAAGTGATTTCTAAACAAATGTTTCCAAGTTCACTCATCCATCCATCATATTGTTTTTGGTACTCATGTATGTATGTTTTTTGTTTGAACCGTTGCTGTTGGTATCAGTGGTTGGCACCGATGGGAAGTGGTGGATGATAATATATTCACACATCTACAACTTGAAACACTTACAC